AAAAAAAAAAAAAAAAAAATATATATATATATATATATATATATATATATATATATATATATATATATATATAGAATGGCGTTGCGGTGGTGCAGTAGGTAGTGCTGTCGCCTCACAACAAGAAGGTTGCTGGTTCGAGCCTCAGCTGGGTCAGTTGGCATTTCTGTGTGGAGTTTACATGTTCTCCCTGCGTTCGCGTGGGTTTCCTCCCTGTGCTCCGGTTTCGCCCAAAAGTCCAATGACATGTGGTACAGGTGAATAGGGTAAGCTAAATTGTGCAAAGAGTATGTGTGTGAATAAGTGTGTATCGATGTTTCCTGAGATGGGTTGCAGCTGAAAGGCCATGCGCTGCGTAAAACATGTGCTATATAAGTTAGTAGTTCATTGCGCTGTGGCAACCCCGTATTAATCAAGGGACTAAGCCAAAAAGAAAATAAATAAATATATGAAATGCATAGAGAGACATTGCTAGCGCTGGTGAAGATTGTGTGTGTTTACAGTGGTTTGACTGATGAATATGAATTTTTAGCTAAATTGTTAACAGTGCCAAACAGCATTTCCCATTTTTTACATGCTTGTTTACATCCTCACTACAACATACCGTTAATGCTAGAAACTGTGCTTGAAGTTGATCAGTTTTAACAAATAAAAATAGTTACAGGTTGTGGCTCACAATCCACAGCTTCTTCACTTGGAGCAGTTTTTAGCCGAATCCAACACTGAAATGGGAGAGATTCTGGAAGCTCTCCTTTGTCAAATGCAAGCTATATATTTTTAATAATTCTCTGAAACATAATTAAAATTAAACTGTAAGCACTTCTCTCTTAGTGTTGTGTCCTTTGGAAGCCCAAATACAGAAATAGAACATTTCTGTGGAAATAGCAGCATTTGGACGCCATTTAGCTTTCTCTGCTACATTGCTGGGCAGGGTGTGTGCACGAGGTGAATGCACGTAACCAGAAGCCCATGTGATCTCACTAACCTAGATTTATTTATTTTTTGTCCCCAAACTTCATTTGCTGTTTGGCATTGCTAAGCTAACTCTATAAAAGCTAATGTCTTCCATTGCGTTGAACTTTGAGCGTCTTACATTCAGAGATGCTGTTTATGTTCACACAGCCACATTACACATCAACTAAAAGTTAAAATATGATATTGCAGTGGATCACACCTTTAAAATATAATGTTTAGCTGACAAAAAAATAAGTCACCTACATCCTAAATGAACTGAAGATGAATAAATAAACATCAAATGTTCTTGTGAACTGCCCCTTTAAAGAGCTAAAAATACATTTAAATTGAATCACTAGTTATAGATTAGATTCCCGAACACCGAACCAACTCCATTAGCTTCGGTTGTTGTCTTTGAACTGCTAGTCAACTCAAACAAGGATAAACATTCGAAAGGATAAAAATTATCATACAGTATGTATTTGTTTTTATTGCAAACCACATCTTTTTCCCCCATTCTTACACATTCATCGACTATGTAAAGAGGTTTCCCTACTCTACGACACGGATTGAAAAAAACAAAAACGCTTAAAGATCAAGACAGACACAGATGAATAATCCTCTTCCTCGGGCTCTTCACCCCTGCTGTGTACAGGTGACAGGTGTAGAGCCATGAAGAAGACACTTAAACAGATGGGCAAACAGAGAGAGAGACGGGAGGGCGCAGAGAGAGATGGGACGCAATCAGGCGTGAGTAAGAGACTGAGCACGACAAGAAACAAAGAGACACAAGCAGGCAACAGAGCGAAAGAGAAGTCATGAATCAAGCATGGCCAGGAAAAGGACAGCACACAATCAGACAAGCTCTAAAGACACACACTGCAGTTGGTGGCTTCATTCACTGCTAGTTTATATTATCAAAAACTGAAGATTACAAATTACGTGAAGTAGATTGTAGAGATTTTAGAAAATGTTGATATTACATGATTATTCTGTACTTTTTAGAAAAAGAAGACCAAGAAATACTGTATATTTATTAAAGCATGCAATTTAGGTAAACTAACCAAATTACTTTTGGATTACTTTTAGATTACTTTTCACCTAACAAAGTTATCATGTAATTGTGAATATGGTTACACACTGATGAACATACAATGACAAATATAGTCATTTTTCCAAATTTTGCAGTTTAGGTAATCTAATCAGACTACTTTTGGATTACTTTTAGATTACTTTTCACCTAACATGTAATCTTGTAAATGTAAATATGGTTTTGCACTGATAGAAACAAAGAAAAATAAATATAGTCATTACTCCAAATTATGCAGTTTAGGTAATCTAATCAAACTTCTTTTGGATTACTTTTGGATTACTTTTCACCTAATGCCTCATTCACACTAGCGGTGACTTTGTAGCGGCTTAACACAGTTATCACGTGAACGTGAATATGGTTATGCACGGATAAAAATACAAAGAAAAATATAGTTGGTTTTACAAAGTATGCAGTTTAAGTAATCAAATCTAACTGCTTTTGGATTACTTTTAGATTACCTTTCAGCTAACATGGTAATGTAAATGTGAATATGGTTACGCACTGATAAATATACAAAGAAAATAAATATAGTTGATTTTCAAAATTATGCAGATTAGATAATCTAATCAGATTACTTTTGGATCACTTTTCACGTTATCACATAGAAGTGAATATTGTTACTTCCTGATAAAAATACAAAGAAAATTATAACAGAAGGCTTTGCAGATTACGCAGTTTAGGTAATCTAATAAGACTACTTTTGGATTGTTTTTAGATTAATTTTCACCAAACACGGTTATCAATGTAATTATATAGATAATCACTGATAAAAATATAAAGTAAAATAAATAAAGTAGCTTTTCCAGATTATGCAGTTTATTTAATCCAATCAGATTACTTTTGAATTACTTTCAGATTGCGTTTTGCATTATCACGTAAAAGTAAAAATGGTTACTCACTGATACGAATACAAGGAAAAATGATTACAGTTTTCCAGATTATACAGTTTATGTAATCTAATTAGATTACTTTTGGATTACTTTTAAATAACTTTTCACCTAACACAGTTATCATTGTTAATATAGATATGCACCGATAAAGATAATTAAAGAAAAATAATTTCACTAGTTTTTTCAAATCATTCAGTTTAGGTCAGGGATGTCAAACTCAATTCCCGGAGGGCCGCAGCCCTGCACAGTTTAGTTCCAACCCTGCTCCAACACACTTACCTATAGGTTTCAAACAAACCCTAAGTTTGATCAGGCATGTTTAATTAGGGTTGGAACTAAACTGTGCAGGGCTGCTGCCCTCCAGGAATTGAGTTTGACATCCCTGGTTTAGGTAAGCCAATCAGATTACTTTTGAATTACATTTAGATTACTTTTCATCTGACATGGTTATCAATGTGAATATGGATCCGCACTGATAAAAACAAAGAAAAACAGCAGATTTTCCCGATTTTGCGGTTTAGGCAATCTAATCAGACTACTTTTGGATTACTTTTTACCTAACATGGTTGTCAATGTGAATATGGTTACGCACTGATAAAAATACAAAGAAAAATAAATATAGTTGTTTTTCTAAATTATGCAGTTTACACAATCTAATCGGATTACTTTTGGATTAATTTAGATTATTTTTCACATAACATGGTTATAAGGTAATTGTGAATATGGGTATGCACTCATAAAAATGCAAAAAAAAAACAGAAATATAGTCAATTTTCCAAAGTAGCAGTTTTGGGTAATCTAATCAGACTATTTTTGGATTACTTTTAGATTATTTTCTACCTAATGCTTCATTCACACTAGCAGCGAGTTTGTAGCTGCCTGTTGCTCTGGGTGGCGACCTGCTTTAAACGTAGACCTGTGTAGGTCAATACTGCATAAATACAACCAGCCTCTGAGCAAGCTGAGAGAGGATCACGTGAGCCCTACAGGTGCTCACATCTTATTATCTTTTGGGATTGCCATTTCCAGTAAAAAAAAAAAAAAATTGTTGTTTTAATAGATGCAACTTTAAGGCAGAATTTGCCAGCGGTATGAATAATTTCAGTCTTGAATGTATGTATACTGTATATCGGGCAGTTTTTCTCTTCAACGTTGCACATTTAACATCCTTTAATGAATGGCAAACCTTTGCTTATCCCTTACAATCAAGTCAATACCAACCTTCTTCAAAATATCTTTTTTGTGTTAAACAGCAAAAAAAAAAAAAAAAACTCAAACTAGTTATGAACAAGTAAAGGGTGATTGGTGGTTAAATGAAAGGGTGATTTTCATTTTAGGGTGACCAATCTCTTTAAAAATAATGATAAACCTGAGGTATTCTCTATATCTTTTCTGGTTTAAATCAGTCTTTTCAGCAGCGTAAACACAACTGGATGCAGTGATGTGAGGGTATCCTTCACATGAATATTACAAGGATTGACTAAAGGGCAAAAACATCAGATACATTAAGAATTCAGTTACCATGGAAGAAAAAAATAAAGTGACTAGATGTGGCAACCCTGCAGTTCATCAGAAAGACACAAAGATTAGAGAAAACAAGAGTAGAGATGGTAAACTTAAACACAGATAGCATGGAAAGGTAAAAAAAACTGTTTGTATTGAAGGCCAACTGAGAAATTCACTGCTATCTAAAAATGAATACAGTTTTTCTTATTTATATTATTGCTGCATTTGTTAACGTTTTCATTAAATTCAGAGTCCGACAAACTCCAAAAGATTCAAACACTTTTAAGTTAAAGCATTTAACAATAAAAAAAAAACTAAGTCAATAAAACTTATCCAGCACATGTTTTACACAGCAGATGCATGTTTCCAGCTGCAACCCAGTACTGGGAAGCACCCATACACACTCATTCACACATATACATGCATTAATGAGCGCACTTTAGCATTACAGAATAAGATCAACATAATTGTAGTTCCATTTGACACCACTAGGTTGTGGTGTGGTAGGTAAAAAATAAGAATAAAGTAAAAAACAGCATAAATTAGCATTTGATACTTACAGGAATGACTTGACGTCCATGCCTCTGGTCCGGATCTGTCCCATCATATGGTCCCAGCTTCCGGGATTGGAACGTGATCGCGCCCCTCCACCCGACCTGTAGCGGGTCGCCCCTGCCCCAGCCGGGCTACCACGCACCCCCCGCGGGCCCCCCCGGTGGCCCCCACCCCCGGGCCCAGTGTGAAGTTGGCCCAGGCTCTGGGAGGTGGCTGGGGGGTCGTTGGGGCCTGGCGGGGGCTGGTGGGTAAGGGGCTGCTGGAGGCTTTGCTGCCTGACCAGGGGCCTGGGGCGGGCTGCTGAGGACGGGATATGCTCCAAGGTGGAGGTGGTGGAAAGAGAGGGGTCCCCAAAACTGGCACCATATCATACGACAGGGGCCAAGTTGTGGGGCGAGGCGAAAAACGGGAAACAGGGACAGAAAGGAAGTCACAAGATACAGGGAAGAGAAGGTAGACACAATTAACGAAGACCAGGGAGACCGGAGAGGGTGAGGGAAGCCAGATATGAAGAGGCGACAGAATGAGGCAGAGAAACAAACAAGACCATAGAGTTGAGGGAGGGAACGGAGAAGACATTTTAAGACATCCATTGGGGGGACAAAGGCACGATGGGGGAATGAGGGAAGAAAAAGAAAGCATAGTTAGGCAGCAAAATTAGTACAATGTGTAGCATTCAGTTTACACATCACATTTGCCCATTTTCCACTGGCAGGATGATGGTGCAGATACTGGATACAATGGTATTTATTATCACAGAAAAATGTTTGCATATTAGTATAATGTACAGGCTGTAACTTTAAAAGAAACCTAGGATGTCTTAAAGACGGGGGATTTGAATATTAACATTGACTACATTTACATGGACATCAGTAATCGAACCATTTGCCCTAATCTGAATAAGACAATAATATGATTAAGGTGTTTACTTGAGCTGCTTTTTGAATGTTTCTTTCTTGATCCCGTTTTACATGTTATAGCACATATTGTAACTATTGTCATTTCGTCATCATGCTATCCACATTTCCTCCAGAGTTTCATGTAATTTTGGGTGTTTCATTTTTAATTTGTCAAATGTAAATGCAGTTTGGCACTTTCCCTTTCATTCAGGAACATTTAATGCATGCCCCCTGACAAACGAGACATTGGATGCAAGGAGCTGCTGGAAAATTGTAGTTTTAATGGAATTTGATACCGCACACCATATGGGAAAAATAAAACCTCCGCATTTTGTCATGCAGGTGTCTGTGGTCCTTTACTGACTCGGTAGGTGCAGAGAATAGTGTCTAACAGCTGTGTGTGTGTATAGACTATCCGGACGCAAAATCCGGCAAAAATCCTACATGTTGGTAATAGTTTGATCGTGGTGTTTACATGTCTGTACTACACTTCAATATTGCGACTAAAATAGGCATACTCCAAGTCTTAATTCGATTACTGTTTAGTTCAATTATGACTTTAGTCTAATTAAATTAATCAAAAAACACCATTTACATGGTAGACAACTAAATAGAGTATTGTCTTAATAGTATTAAAATCGAATTATTGGTGTCCATGTTAATGTGCTCATTGTAGTAAAGTTAAAACTTACAAATTTAAGATGGTACAAATTAAAACGTACACATTATTGTGAGTTTTTTAAAAGTAAAATTAAAGCAATGGGTTCTATACCCATGCAAAGCTTGAATTGCTAATAGTGTTAACATCTATAGTTCCTGAATTATGACACCCTGTTCAATTGACCTTGCAAAAATTGAGCTGATATACAGTAGCCAACATTTCAAGTGGACCAAAACAAGTTTGAATGGGTGTTGCTTAATATGTGTAAGACAACTTTGCTGACAGTTTTTGATCCACTTCAAATGTTGACCACTGCAGTGTAGTTTGAACATGGCATAACATTTGTCTCAAAACTAAGTTCCCAAGAAAGTCTAAGAGGAGGCTTGCAGTCTTTAGGAGTTACAGACCAGTGGCCACCATATGTGTGTGTTACTGTTAAGTCCACAATACCGTAGGGCATGGTCTCAAACTCAATTCCTCGAGGGCCACAGCTCTGCATAGTTTAGCTCCAACCATCTCCAACTCACACATGCTTAATAGTCTCTAGTAGTCTTGAACACCTTGGTTAGTTGGATCAGCTGTGTTTAATTAGGGCTGGAGCAAAACTGTGCAGAGCTGCGGCTCTCCAGGAATCCAGTTTGAGACCTATACCGTAGGTGTCTTATTTATTATTTTAGCATTCAAAAGGGTTCACATAAGCACCTATGTTGTGGCAACTATGTGCCTTCAATACAAACTTTCAGGAGTTTAGGATACAGTTTGGAAAAGGGCTCAAATCTTGTAAAGAAAGTACAATGTTGGGTTTCTCCAGAATGGGCACATGCACCATTTCAGTGGAAAAGGGGCAATCGTTTCATTTGCGGCTTAGCCTGACTAATGCTGGGTTCACACCAAAAGTGAAATTAATTATTTGCGCAAGCACATTACATACAAAGAATATGCAAATGCACAAATATAGGCAAATTTCACTTGGGTGGTACGAATGATGTAGAATGCATGACACATTTTTGCCATGAACGTGCAGAAATTACCTTAAGCATGTCTTCTGTGCAGGTTCAAATTCATGTAGAGTGAGAAATCATTGTTTGGTGTGAAACCAGCATAAGGCACAAGTCTGGTAAAACCAACTTCATCCCGCTTAAGATCTATGTCTATGATATTTTAATTAAATAACATCCCAATTCTATCCACTCACCCCCTCCCAGCAACATCCTTTTGCTCTGCATCATGTCTAATCAGTATAAAGTCCCGCTGAGCTGTTCTGTCTGATGCTTATGCTCTACTGAAGGATTTACTACACCAGGGTTAAGTGCCACACACCCCTATGGGCGACCCGGTGCTGTAATTCTTGCAAGGTACTCAAAGGAGGCATCCCTGGTGAGAGTATTTGGGAAGGGAATGAATGTCAGCAATAACTCAGATTCTGCCAGTACACGTTTCATACACTTGTCAAGGTTGCGAAAGGAACGGCGGCACGTTAATGGACGTGAATTGATGTGGATGAGTTAAATGAAGAAGTTACTACTGTAGAGACTGTGACTGTCTTCTGAACGTTACGATGGAGAGCTAGTATGATTATTAGAGATGGTGAGTATAGGCATTTCTTGCTGTATCGCTTGCCATGATTTAATCAAGTAGGACGTGTTCTTGAATCAACAGTGTTATAATCACCCCATCCCTACATGCAATTTCAAGGCAATGCATAACTACTTGACAATTGTTTGCTACTTCACAATGTATTTTTAATTTAATTTGTATGTTTTCATACAGTCTGCTTAGAGTCTCCATTAGGAAGGTATAGGACTAGGGTTAGAGAACTTACAGTGCGATACATGCTTTCTTTGATCTAAAAATGTGTTTATTTGTAAAAATACAATAACATTTTCTCCAATAAAAGCCATATAGATCTTTTCACATGACTCATGTTTGACGTTCAACCCAGGCTCAGTGGAAATATATGCCTCAGCCTTCATTTTTGCAATAAAATACGCTGCACCGGGTACGTTTTGCTGCCAGTTTAAGGTAACAAATCAACTAGAGCGCGCTGTCTATATTTTTGCATATATGAAATACGTTATTTGGGGTGCATTCTGTTTTCAAATACACACCCTTCTTGTACACATCCATGGGAAGACAGTGCTGTACAAATCAGCGAACCACTTACCTTATCCATTTCCTAAACCCAACCAATAGTGTTTTCAAAAGCGAAACGTAAAATAGTGGAAAAGTGCACTGCTAACACAAAGTTTACTTTGAATTTAAATTGTTTTTCCTGTTTTTTTTGGAACTGTGCTTCACTGGACTCAAACTCGAGCACACTGCATCACTAGTATAACACTCTACGGCTGCATTTACACTGCAGATCCTGATATTCAATTCCGATTTTTTAACTGTATCTGATTTTTTTGATGACCTGCTTGCATCATCTTTTAAAAGTGACTTGTATCTGATCGTCTGAATTTACACAGCACATGGCAAAGGCGCAATGACCAGAAAAAAAAGAGTGAGCGCTGACTAACAGCTGATAATTAAAAAGTGCTCTTTTCTCTATTCCTGTATGAAATCTGTTCGCAGCTTTTGACAAGATGTTTCACCATAGATTATGACAGAAAGATTCTCATTTGTCCATCTTCTTTTGATATATATATGCTTTTTAAAAAACCTTTAGGCATCTTAATGTAATGTCCATGGCGTGATTTATGCACGTGATGTATGCACTAGTTTTATATTAGTTTATGGTTACGTGGCGGACATTGGGTTCTCTCGCTCTCGTTAACATGCTAAAAATACCTGTGCTATATGACAATATAAAAGCTTTTTAAGTCCTTGTGTATGAGATTTAAGGTTTGGGACTCTGCTGAAGTCTGTTCGGAAAAGAAAGAGTCAGACTTTACATCATTCGCTACACTGAAAAAAAAATATTTAGAGATGATTTCTTGGATTTACTTCATTATTTTTTTACATTAAGTGGTTGTAAACTATTTATTTATGTTGAATTTAAACAAACAAATTAAGTTGAACATTGTTAAATTAAATTCAACACAAATAAATTGTTTTCAACAGTTCTACATGCAACACTTTTTTTTCAGCGTATGGTTTTTAATGACGTGCGATTCGCAATGACAGGTGAAAATTCGATCTTACACTGCAGACACGAGGACACAGATCCGATTAATATTGGATAAATTTCCACATATGAACAAGGCCTGAATCTGATTTGAGAAAATCGGAATCCATGTGATTTGTTCCTGCTTACATGTACGTGGGCCATATCCCATCTGTGCCACATGGGAGAAATAAAATCGGAAATGAGTCACTTGAACAGTGCAGTGTAAATGCAGCCAACAAGACAAACCACCAGCAAACTCGCCACACCAAAAAGTCGTCCATATGGAGATAGATACTGTAGGTGATGCAAATGTGCTGGATTACAAATCATAGACGCTGTTAAGGTGTTTTGTGGTACATGTTTGGTGTTGTAAAACTAACATGTCCCTGTAACTATCATTAATATAAAAAAATCAAGTTTTCAGTGTCATATTGACCCTAGTGTTCATTTTTACCTAGAATCAGTGCTTTATTTGTGAACAGATCGGGGTAATGGATCCTGCAAGTTACCCGAGGATGGAGAATTGTCGCGCACAAAACTGGAGAGCGGGGTGGGGTGTGTGTGTTGGGGGGGGGATTGGAGGTTGGTGGTTGGTGCGGTGGATGACGGAGGGCACAGCAAGGGTGTCGCGGACGAAAGTGAAGAGGGTTGGGAAGAAAGTGAAAGTGAACAGTGGATGGGGGAGGAGGGCGGTCAGTAAAATGAGGTGCCGAATTAGATTTCAGAGCTGCCAGATTCGTAGTGTTCCAGCACAAATTATGCCCTGCCTAGAATCTGTAGTCAAACATTTTGCGGTTTCACAAGAAATGTCGGCTGAAGCATGTATTTTTAATAAGTCTGTGTTACAAATTCCAACTTAAGAACTGAAGACACATCGTGCAAAAGTAAAGTGCTCTTACAAAAGTTTTCAAATATGAAAATATTTTATTTATTTATTCATTTATTTATTTTTTGCTGGCCTGATCATATAATTACCAACAGTAGACATTTTAACCTCTTCCTAATCAATCACACTTGAATAGACTCATCAGAACATTAGAAGAGACTCAGAAACCTGAAGTGAATGGGTTAGATAAGGGAGACATCCAAAATATGTACTGTCGGTGTGCCTCCAGGAACAGGGTTGGGAAACACTGTACTATACCATATTCTGAGACTTGAGAGTAAAACAGTACAATGCTAACACGTTAAAATATAGTCATATAATGCTTGTG